CCGACCCCAACGGTTTCGCTAAAAAAAAAATCGCATGAATATGAAAAAATTGAGCTACGATAATCAAATCAAAACGGACGAAAAGCATCAGAAATCCACCACGAGAAGCTGCGATTGGGTCCACCTGCACCACGTCGGATAATTTGGGGATGTTTTTGATGAAATTGGAATGAAATTCATGGTATTTGGAATGAAATTCATGAGATTTATAAAAAAAACTCGACGCCTGGATCTGGAGTTATTTTCAGTATATGTTCTGTATATGTTCGGTATATGTTCCGTATACATATATCAACCTAGAAAATAGTATATGTTCAGTATATATATGTTCAGTATATTTTCTGTATATATGTTCGGTATACTTATATAAACACCAAAAAACAAAACTAATATATATATATATATATGTATATATATATATGATCAAAATAAATAAAAACAGAATCATCACAACATCGCAACAAAATATACAAACAATATACATATTGATTCCGTATAAATTACATATATTCAAAAAAAAAAAAAACTACATACTTTTACCTGATCGGGTATATTATGTATATGTTCATGTTCGTGCTTACATGTTCTGAAAGCGTGATGTTGTGAACGTGTAAAAGTTGTATATGTTGTCGTGAATTTCCAAAATTTTTTTGAGATAGATGATGGTCTTCAACTGATTTACTGCTCTGCGTGATTGTAGGAAGGTGAGATTCTTTCCCAACTGCTATGCGTGATCGTAGGAAGATGGGATTCTTTTTTAATCCAACCGTTTTGTATTCCCAACAAAATAAATGCACTTCAATTTGGTAGTCATGCTAATAAAATATGGGATATCGTAATTTTGCAAAATTTGTATAATCTTGTGGTATTGAAAAAAAATCGCCAAAAGTTTTCCCGTTAGGAGGGTAATTAGTTCTAAGAAAATGCATAAACAAGGGTCCGAAACATGTAGCCCAGCCCACAAATCTCTCATTTTGAGACAGTCTCATCCATATTCGGATCTCCACCCTCAGTCACACTGCCCCATAAGCCCATATTCATTCACCTCTCCCTCTCAACAATGGCGGCCGCTCCTCCCATCTTCAGATCCTCATTTCTCTCAACTCAGCCTCCGTCCCATGCCCACCCCACCATCCGCGCCGCCCCAAATGCCACCTTCACCGTCCGCGCCGCCGACACTTCCTCCGACAACCCCTCCGCCGCCGCGGCGCCGCTCAAGCATCGCCGCCCGGCGGACGAGAACATCCGCGACGAGGCCCGTCGCTACGCCTCGTCGTCTCACGGGTTCTCCGCCAAGTACGTCCCCTTCAACGCCGATCCATCCTCCACTGAATCATACTCCCTCGACGAGATCGTCTACCGCAGCCGCTCCGGCGGTCTCCTCGACGTCCAGCACGACATGGACGCGCTGCGCAAGTTCGACGGCGAGTACTGGCGCTCCCTCTTCGACTCGCGCGTGGGCAGGACCAACTGGCCTTACGGGTCCGGCGTCTGGTCCAAAAAGGAGTGGGTCCTGCCCGAGATCGACGGCGACGACATTGTCAGCGCCTTCGAGGGGAACTCCAACCTTTTCTGGGCCGAGCGTTTTGGCAAGCAGTTTCTAGGCATGAACGATTTGTGGGTGAAACACTGCGGGATTAGCCACACCGGCAGCTTCAAGGACCTGGGTATGACCGTCTTGGTGAGCCAGGTCAACCGGCTCCGTAAAATGAACCGTCCGGTGGTGGGCGTTGGCTGTGCCTCCACTGGTGACACTTCTGCCGCCTTATCTGCCTACTGTGCGTCCGCCGGAATCCCGTCCATTGTTTTCCTGCCAGCCAATAGGATCTCTATTGCTCAGCTTGTTCAGCCAATTGCAAATGGGGCATTTGTTTTGAGCATTGATACTGATTTCGATGGCTGTATGCAGTTGATTCGCGAGGTCACAGCCGAGCTGCCTATTTACCTGGCCAATTCATTGAACAGCTTGAGGCTCGAGGGCCAGAAAACCGCCGCCATTGAAATTCTGCAGCAGTTTGACTGGCAGGTGCCGGATTGGGTGATTGTTCCAGGTGGAAATCTAGGCAACATATACGCCTTCTACAAAGGCTTTCACATGTGCAAGGAGCTTGGGCTCGTGGATAGGATCCCAAGGCTCGTGTGTGCGCAGGCTGCAAATGCTAATCCCCTTTACTTGTATTACAAATCGGGTTGGAAGGACTTTAAGGCCGTTAAGGCTGGAACAACTTTTGCCTCGGCAATTCAGATTGGGGACCCAGTTTCTATTGATAGGGCCGTTTATGCCTTGAAAAATTCAAATGGGATTGTTGAGGAGGCAACTGAGGAGGAGTTGATGGATGCCATGGCACAGGCGGATTCTACCGGGATGTTTATCTGTCCCCACACTGGTGTGGCTTTGACTGCTTTGATTAAGTTGAGGAACAGTGGGATTATTGGGCCAACAGATAGGACTGTGGTGGTGAGTACGGCTCACGGGCTGAAGTTTACTCAGTCCAAGATTGATTATCATTCAGGGGAGATTAAGGACATTTCTTGTCGGTATGCGAACCCGCCCGTGCAGGTGAAGGCGGATTTCGGGTCGGTTATGGATGTCTTGAAGAAGTATCTACTCAGCAAGGATTCTTGAGAAATGACATGTTTTCACTCCTGTACTTTTTCATGTTGCTTTAAAGCAAGCAAGGGAGGTGAGCTGCAGTAGTGTTGTTCTTGTTTTTTTTCGATATTATTGGTGTTTTTGATCTTGCTTTTATGTATTATTTGGAATTATGGTTTAGCTTTTTCCTGGATGGATTTTAAGTGAAGTGTACCAGGAGTTGGATTTTGACTTTGAAGAGCCTGTGTATCCGTGAAAGACTGTGCTGGAATTTTGGTTATAATTAACTGAGTTTATGAGTTGATCGGTTGGTTTAAAGCTTTTTGGCATGATTTGGTGTGGGTAATGCTTTGTTTTTATGGAACATAATATTATATAACTTTGTCATGTGATTAACAGGATTGTCCTTGGAAAAGAAGTATAAAGGAACACATTGTTGATACACAAAAACTCAATGGCATAGTAAATCTATAGTTAAAATGCATGTGCCTCTGTGATATTATGTCAAATTTTTGTTTGTATTACTGCTAACTGGTAGTAGCACGGTTATATTGTTATTGACTTTCCTTGGAACTGACTCGATTTCAACAGTAGCCTATGGCCACTGTAATTTTCTGGATTAATTTCTGAAGTATACTTTCTTGAGGGCCAAAGAAGTTATGATCTTTGGCATGGATTATGTTTATTTGTTTTTTCCTTGGTCTCTTGGGTAGAATTTACAGGAAAATCACATAATTTGGAAGCATGTTCTCATTCATCATCTCAAATCCTACGCGCAGTTCATGCAGACGGGTTTTATACCCTACGCAAAAGAAACACACACGTAACTCCTAAACAACACCGTTTCACTATGTGGAAATATATAATCAAATTGTAACCAAACTTTAAAGTTGTGACTCCTCAATCTCTCTCTACATAGTTTTGTGTCACTGTCATCTAGCATAACTTGAATCTGAAACTCCACTTCCGCAAAACACTCTTGTTGTTCCTCTAATATCTTATTTGCAGAAAGCACTGCCGGAAATTCCGTACCTTGACGTGCCTGAGTTGGGGCATCTGCCAGATGTCCAGCACTGGCTGTTTATGGTACATCGACCCCTATCAAATATCAACGTCTGTAAATTCCAGATTAGGTAAAATTCTGGAGGAAATTGAAGCTTCGGCAGATCAACTTTGGTGACCAGGTGGCGCAAGTTGATTGGATGACAAAGTTCTCCCATTCTCTGGATGCATTCTGAACCTTCAACAATCTAAAAGGAAATACAGATGGTAAAACCCCATTAACGTTCCATATCAGAGCTCTGATATATTGTTTGTTCTAATTCTTGTTTCCTGTCCTTACTCCCTATGGTTTTCAAACAGCGAAGGACTTCTAACAGAATTCCTTTAGGATTAAATTCTTGAGAAATTATTGCCCATCCACTAATATAAAAGTGTTCCACAATAAGTGGATGTTCGTAAATTCTTTTAGCAAGAGCGGTCTTACCAATGCCACCCATGCCAGCAATCCCGATGATCTGACGGCTAGATTGTTGACCGGTCAACTTATCCATGATGTCGTTCATGACATCATCGGAACCCACCATGGCGTCATCATCCTTCGTGGAAAAAGGAGCAATTTTTTTTCCCGGCCTTCTTCTCTTTAACAGCAGCCACGTCTTTTGTGATGGAATCCAAGTCGTGCATCACTTTCTGGTAGCTCTCGATACAGAGACTCATCTTCACTCGAACTGATTTTAGCCTCAATCATTTATATCCTCTGCCTCGTAAGCCGCATCTGACCATATGCCCCTCCAAGCCATCTGCATCATCAATAATAATATAGCTTTCGAGAAAATCTTGCAAGAAAGCAACATTTTTTTTATCAAAGGTTCGATTTGTAGTTTGTCGAGAGAGATGGGAGGACGAGGGTGATTTTGGATTTGGTGTATGGTGTTCTTAAGAGAAAGAAGAGCTCCATAAGCTGCCAAGGATCCCCAGTTAATGGAACTGAAAACCAATCAGCTTTAATTAGGAAAAGTATATGAAGAACACTGACAGAATTGAGAAAGAACGAAGAAGACAACTGAAGAACACTAGCTAGGATTTGATTTGTTCTGGTGAAGGAATATATTTTGTGATTGCATGCATTTCAAAAATGATAGGTATACTTTTTAATGGTTGCATCATTTTTGTCCATTCCATTAAACATATGATGGATTTGCAGGCCACTGCACAATCGTACTTTGAGGGAAAATTTTGTCAAGGGGATCGAAATATATGAATCTCAGGCTTTTACAGTCTCTTGGCAGTTACATACAAAATACACCAAGTTTCAATTGGTGCATTCTAGTAAGATCCCATAAAGGAGGTATTACAAGACAAGTATAAATGGACTGAAAGCAACAAATGTAGTTCTCGGTACATACTACATAGTACATACTAACGTGAGGAACAATTCCCAGTTCTAAAAGGCAAAACGGAACATATACACACATGGAATTCCATACAGGATAACATTCAAGCCTATGAATATGCCCCGACTTATCTAAGACACATTACAGGCCAAGTGTGTGTTGAGCCAACAACAGGTAGTGAGTTTCAAAGTCGAATCATTGGAATTTAACAATCGATCGAGAAAATTGAACATGTAATTTTGACTCGATTATGCATGAAAGAATTTCCACAATTTGTGTTTCTTTTTTCACGATTCAACTCACTTTTCCCAATCAGTTCAAGGCCAACATCCATCATGAAAGAAACTGGGGGGAGATGTGGGACAACTCACAAGTGATATTCTAACACGCCCCTTCACTTGTGAGTCCTTCGGAAGCCCAAGCCCAATTGAGCGCCCCAAGCCTACTAGAAGCAGACTTTCTAGTAGACTCCCATAAACGGGTACGTCATCGCACGGTCCCAATAGAACCGAGCTCTGATACCATGAAAGAAACTGGGGGGAGATGTGAGACAACTCACAAGTGATATTCTAACACATCAGAAATAAATGAATCCCTTGAGCTGACATCAAGCGCAGTCAGTAAAATAAAGGAGAGAGCAATGAAACTTACTGAGCTCGGCCAGGCCCGAGTCTGAGCTGGATCTTGCAAGTAGGTCAGCCTCCAACGACCGGGTCACCGGCCCAATTTGTAG